CTCCGGAATTTTTAAATGGATTACGGTGTTCTGGGGTTCCAAATCACTCATTAACTCTTAAGTGTTTTCTAAATTGAAAAATAATATGAATTAAGTTCATATATTTTTATACTATATTTAGCATTATTGTATAAACTTTTTTGAATTAAATTGATATAGTTTTTATACTATATACAACAATTTTTTCTATATCGCAAGTGAATTTGTTTTTGAAAAAGTTTGTCTTTAATCATGGTCAAATGTACGCAGCACTTTTTAGAATAAGGAATTTAAGGGGATTAAAAATTTTAATTTGTGTTCGTTTTCAAAATTTAAATCGAACAAAAATAAAATAAAAATTTTTTATTTGTGGAGATAATGAAATTTATGAGTATGACTAAAAATTCCGTATAGAAATATTCAATAATATGTAATACAATTTCAATATTAATTATTATTTAATAATTTTTCACTCTACATATTTTCTTATTTTTTATTATTATATTATATTGTTTAATTATTATTATTATTATTATTATTATTATTATTATTATTATTATTATTATTATTTATGGCCGTGCATCGCACGGGTGCAAATACTAGTTACACTAAATAACATGTTCATGAAAAATAAAATTCTTGACAATATCCCTTTCAAAAAAAAAAAAATTCTTGACAATATCAATTGTTTGACAAGAGATATTACTAGTTGTAATTACTTTCTTCCTTAGCAAGTGGTGAATATATATCGCATTATAGACTCTATATAGCAAGTCTAATCCATACTTATACAATTAAATGAAACCTATTAATTACTATCATTTAAAAAAAAAAAATCTAAGATTATGACATTCAATAAATTTTTCATGTGATCTTCACTCAATAAACAATAACAAAAATATTAAACTGTGAAAAGAAAAAAAAAAAAAAAAAAAAAAAAAGAGTTAGTTTGTGAGAATGATTAAATAAATATCTAAAAAAGAAGTATTTAATTAAATGGAGTGAAGGCCTAACATGCAAAGTTAGTTCCTCATGGCAGAAAGCTTAGAGATGTGGTAAAAGATGCAAAACGGTAGGACTTAACATATCATGATATAAAAAGATGGTCAAAATTAATAACACTATACATATAGCGACAAGATCAAATAAGAACATAGTCTAATCTCAACCACCTATTAGAATTCATCAATGGTTTTCTTGCAAATTCATGATTTGGATTTGTACACAAATTTTCACTTCTAGAGTAGTTTTCATATAAACCGTGTATATATATAGCATCAGGCCCGGATTTTTGACAGTGCAAGCTGGGCTACCGCACAGGGCCCCAAATTTTAGAAGCCCAATATTTCATCTTTACCTAGTTAGTTTAGAAATAAAAATTAAAAGTTTTCAATTAAATTTAAAAGGCTGTATGAAAAAATGGTAGGAGAATGTATTTGTTGTATTTCAATTTCAATTTTAACTTGGAGGTCTAAAGTTCAAAACTTGCGCACACTATTATTATTGTTATAATTGTAATTTATTTCATAATATGTCTTTTGGCCTTTTCTTTGGGCACAGTAACATTTTACCACATTGTTATTGCTAGTATTTTTACCAGTGTGTTGCACGGAATAGATTTGTTATAATCTTTAAGAATATTTTGATCAATATACAAATATAAATTATAACAACGAATATTATATATTGCAATTGATGAAATGAGTTGTATCAATTATGTTTTTTGATGTTATCCTTGCTTGAATTCGAGTAAATAATTACCCAATTATCCGTGCAGTGTGCGTGTGATGCACGGATAAATTTTTTTAGTATATATTTATATAATAAAATTGTTACTATTTCTTTAATCCTTTCAAAATTTGTTAAATATTCATTCAAATCCGTGTGAATGGAAACACATAGGTGAGTGGAAACACATTAGCATAAAATTACCATAATAATAACACAAAAGAAAGAAAAAAAAATTATGAGAATAATCTATATCTATATATAATTAAAAGTAAAATTCTCCTAACCAAGTTTATCCTCAAAACTTAGGGGCATATATATATATATATATATATATATATATATATATATATATATATATATATATATATATATATATATATATATATATATATATATAAATTGCATATTTACCATATATGCATATTTTGTGTTTATATAGTATAATTTTTGGTATCAAACATTTGAATGGTAATAAACGGGGGAAAATGTCAACATACAAATGATAATTCTTTCATTACTATACTAATTTTAATGGTAATTCATTAATTACTATATTTCATGATGAGTTAGTGTGTTCATGCCCATCATTTTTCAAAAAACATAGAAATGAAATAGTCAATTATTAAAATTGTTTATGATTTCGTTTTTAATTTTTGTCTAAAGTTAAAGATATATATTTTCGGCGATTATAACATTTTTTGTATTAACTGAAAATTTGAAAGTTTTACCTTTTTTTGAGATCTCTTACCATTTTATAATTTTAATATTGTGCCATTTTGAACTATCCATGGTGTATAAATACACTCTATATGACCATACAAAATCCATTGAGGAGACATTTGTACTCAAGAGTAAACTTCTCCTTAAACTAAATTCGGGTGTCAAGAAAATCTCCGTTTTCATTCATAATGATATTCCTATTTATGAGTCTCTCATCACTGTTCGGTACATCAATGATGTCTGGATTTCTGGGTCTTCCATTGTTCCCTTTGATCCTTATGATTGTGCCATTGCCAGTATTTTTTTATTTGGGTTCAGTACAACGTGAATTTTTTTGGGAGGTTTCTCTAATTAAATTTTTGGTTAAAATTTTACATTTCCTTTGTATTTTATTTTAGTACTTTTTTTTATTTATTTATACTAATATGTGAATGGAGTAACACAAAATCTGAAATTGTATTTGTTATTTATTTATTCTTTTTAAATAATATGAAAAAACCATAGAAACTTGAATGACATGTACAAATCTCGAAATCAACATACTAACTCTAAGTTTCAGAAAATCTTACAAAATTATCAAAATTACCGTCTTTATCATCCTCGATCGCGTCTCTACAATCTTCCATAAAAACTAAACCAATAGGGTTCTGTTACAAATGCTCTTCCTCCTCAATTTCCTTTTGTTGAAGCAGAGCCTCCTTAAGTATCTTCAAACTCATACCAGAAGATATAAACTGCAAAACATATTGAAGTACGTGAGAATATAGTTAGAAACCCTTGTATTTATAGGTAGAAAATACTAATTCAGAAGGAAAGTATAATAATTTATTTATTTAAGGGAAAGTATAATAATTTATTTATTTAAGGTAATAAAATTATTATTATTATTATTATTATTTATTTATTTATTTATTTATTTATTTTCCATTTGACATTTACTTACCAAATAAGTTTTACTACAAAAGTTTTGGGGGGAAAATTTGTTAGGAGGATTTTACTTTTATATATATATATATATAGATATATAGATATATAGATATAGATTGTTGTAATGATGTACAGAATTTGACGATGAATAAGAAATCATTTTTTGTTCTCTACTCTCTTCGTCCTGTTATTACTGTTATTCGCGAGCTAAAGGCCTGCATACAAACCTGCAATACAACAATCAAATCACTATTAAATATTTACAATGAGAAAATTACACTTTTGGTCCTATGACTATAGTGGTGTTGTTAATTTCAGTACTTGACTTTAAAAATTAACAATTTAGTCTCGTAACTACGTAATTTTTAACACGTTTGGTCCACCCGATCAAATCACCAGCCAAATGTCACTGGAAAAATGTAAATTTTTTTAAAAAATTATTCATGGGGGCAAAATGGTCATTTTATATTTTTAAAAAATGGGAAACTTATTTGCTTCCTTCTTGCCTTCTTGGCGTACCAGTTGATGCAGAGATTTAAGAGTTGGTCTAGGACTTCTATCAAAACACGTGGTGCTCATTCTGAAAAGAGCACAATGTCTTCACCAACTGCGACGGTTGTCTGGCTATTCTCTGGAGAGCTTTGGGATTCAGTTGGCAAGTAAACATTGGAGACAATAAACTCTAATGGCAATGAACCCAGTCCACATAAATATTTGAGAGAGAAAAAACCAACTGAGACTAACAACTTGATAAATTCTCACCCTTTAGAACCCAGGTTTCATGCTTCCAGAAAGCACAAGTAGCAATGGAGATTCACTGTACTGCCAATTATACACATTAATGCTTTCTATATCATTAGTGCTGATGTAAAAATCATATCCGGAGAAAAAGAACCCACGCTATAAAAGAAAAAATTAATTGAACAGAGCCCAGATTACTTCAGACCACCTCGATAGGACACTGGAAATAGAGAAGGAGAGGGACTGGGTTATTTTGGCGTGGGTTATCTGTGTGTTTGAAGAGGGACTGGCACCAAGATAGCATGAGGCTTGATAAGCTATTGCTCTGCCTCTGCCGCCATTGTTGTGTTTGGTTTAAGCTTCGTTAACTGTCTTGAAGCATGCATGCTAAATTTAGGTCAGATTCTCCCACCATCGCTGTCGCCACCCTCCGAAATACATTTGCTGTTCATCAGTACATTTCTTAATACATTTGGATGCGTTACCGATTGTTGACCTTTAATTTGCTGTAGAGACATTCCTCCAATCGTTAATACATTTCTTAACAGTTTTTGTTGTCCAATAACTCGAAACAGAAACTCGTTAACCCATATCCACGGTTTGGATGTGTTATTAACAAAAATGGACGAAAATAAAATATGGGTATCAGTTTCTCCGATTCTGGCTACCAGGTGCAAGGAGGAAGAAGAAATAAACGTAAAATGACCGTTTTGCCCCCATGAATAAACAATTTTAAAACATTTACGTTTTCCGGCAACATTTAGCCGGTGATTTGGCCGAAAGGAACAAATGTGTTAAAAATTGCATAGTTACGGGACTAAATTGTTAGTTTTTAAAGTCGAGTACTAAAATTAACAAGACTTCAATAGTCACAGGACCAAAAATGTAATTTTCTCTATTTACAATCAAGAGTAGTATGTCCAAAATGCATCACAAGCACCAAAATCAAGCATAATGCTTTACCAAAAATATAAACGGTCAAATGGAATTGAATATCCAAAGAAACAAAAATCTGTGATAAGCTCCAATACTAGAACTAAGCCTCCTAGTTTCAAAAGTCACTTTCAAGACCTCATCGCTAGTGCTAGTGCTATTCACAACTCCTTAACTATGAAACATAAGAAAATATTAAATAATGAGCTAATGCCCAGTAAGTGATACTCTTCTTAACCCCGGATCAAGTAACCTTAATATAATACAATAAGCTTTAGAGTAATAAATATATGCAAATCTCGATCTTTTAACTATACCAATTCATAATATAATTCTATCATACTGTACACAAGTTCCCAAATATAGAAAACTTTAGGTACATGGGCATCAACATTATTTCATAACACAATACTTTTAAAAGCTCAAATCATTCCTTAACATATAACTCATTGGCAACCTACAACCACCATTATATCGGCACAGGCCATTATCGGCATAATGGTCCATAAAGACTCGACGATTCAGAATGAGTCAGGCTCAACGATTAAGAATGAACCGGATGGAACGTTCCAACAGATAATTCAAAAGTAAAGACTCGACGATTCGGAATGAGTCAAGCTCGACAATTTGGAATGAGCAACTAGGAACCTTCCAAGCCAAATAGAACAAACAACAAAATATAAGTTGCCTCATGAATTTGACCAAACCTTCAAAATAATTCTTATAATCAAATAGGCTTTTGTATCAAAAATCATTTCCTTAAAAAATCACATGACAAAGTATATATCCAAGAGAAATATGAAATCCGTATAACTCATTACTTGGCAAAACAAATATGAAATCATAAACTAATAATTGTCACATAAATTACTTGATCCTCTTTTAAAGCAAAACACATGTACAAAATCATACCAATAAATCAAATAATAGTGTAATCACACTTTAACAATCATAACTAGCTCGAGTCATATTATATCAAAAACCCAAAATATTTTAACTCAAACTAACCTAAAATGGGTATTCATATTCCAAAATAGGTTATGGGTTTTGCAAAATAAGAAGAGAAGAGTTAACCACTTACCTAGAACATCCAAATCTTAGTTATTTAGTTCACCTAAATACTCTTTGTCAAAATCCCTAATATTTTAAACATTAATCTTAGGACTCCAATGATAAACCAACTCAAAAAGAGTGAAATATGGAGGTCAAACTCACCTAGAATACTCTAATAACTTGATACCTAAGCTTGAAGAGGATGGAGATCAAAGCTTCAAGCTAGGTTTTTCATTCTCCTATCTCTCTAGTATCTTCTTTCATATGAGAAATTTATTCAACACCAAGTGATTTCTTAACCTTTAAGGGTAAGGAAGAGTAATTTAGTAATTTTATCCAATATCAACTTTTAATAAGCTTTGACTTGTTAACCTCATTTAACAAACGTAGACATAATTTCATTTCTAAGGTAGTGGTATTACATAATCAAAAAGTTGGCTTGCTGGTTATGTGTGCTCATCTGCCTCGTAACAAAACACTTCAGCCTGTACTGATAGTCTTACAGCAAATGTTTCGATCACACACGTTGAAAATGAAAAAGAAACTGGTAATTATATTATTATTATATTGTAGCTTAAATATCATTTTCATATATATTTTTCTTTTATTAATTTCCATAATTTTATAATTTGTTAAAGTTTACATTTAAAATGTAATATGTCTGGATGGAAGCCTTCTTTCCTACTATCACGGCAAGAGAGAAGGGCTGGGTATAAACAATTGGGTGATTTATGCACCAGAAAACCAACCTATAATGGAATTATTGTGTAATTAATTTTTATGATTTTTATTTTTATACAATATTAATAATCTACAACATTTTAAATTATTCAAGGGTGGTGGGTGGTGTACAACCGTCAGCGAATGTCAAAAACGTTCTACAGGTCAATACGGTTCTTCAAAAAATTTAGCTAAGAGTGTTCATCTTGAGAACATTTTGAGGTAAAGCTCCGTTACAAATCCTGGTATCAATAAACTTACTTTCCTACCAATTAATAGATTGATCTATGTTTGATATTTCTTCATTATTGCACTCATTTTCATTCTTAATTAACTTGTTATTTGTTTTTAAATTATGCTTTATAGATTTCTATAATTGGAACCGAGTTTATATTAATTACTGTGATGAATCTTCCTTTTGTGGAAATGTTAACACAGTGATTCTAGTAAGTTTTCTAAATTTAATATTTAAAATTTATAATATATTACTCCGTATAAATTACCATGTTAATTAACAAGTACAAAGATTTTAAAAAAACAGACATCCAGCTTTAATTATATTCTATATTTTATATAGCATTGGTTTAGCTAATTCATGATAGATTTTTTAAAAAAATTATTTTATGATACATTTTAATGTTCCTCATTGTTTTAATTTTTAAAACTCTTTTAGACTACTGATCTAACCTATAGAGGAGGAAGGATCTTTACCGTGATAATGAAAGATTTGCTTAAAAAAGGGATGAAAAATGCCAAAAATGTATATTCACATACTCTAATACACTTTTTTTTCATGAATGTATAGTATGTCTGTATATTGTTCTATTTAAATTGCAAATTAAATAATCAATGATGTATTCATAACTAAATTTTGTTAGTTATTTATTAAATTATGCATAACATAACATTATCATTGTTAAACTTGAACTTATCATTATCATTGTGATCGATTTCGATCACTTTTGCCATTTGACGCAAAAGTTAAATGTTTTTCTGATTCAACATATTTTTTGCACGAGTACTTGAGATTTAAATTTGTCTAATAGTGTATCTTTGAATAGCTATCATGCCTGTAACTTAAAATTTTATAATCCTTCAACAGAAAATATTTGTTGGGGGAGAAGAAATTTGACAGTACCTTGAAGGATTGATTACATTACATGAAATATAACAAATTTGTATACTTTAAATAGTTTCATCTCCATGAGCTAAAATATGGGTTACAGGGATCAAGTCAAATGCTGCATTTATCTTGCACTAAGAAATTAATCAAACCAAGTCTTTTAAGAACATTTGCATACATACATACACCTTGTTTAGATGCGTTTTATGTCCACCAATATTAATTTTAAATTATTCAATTTATAGTGTTTTTTCCCCAATATATATTTTGCCACACGTTAGAACTCCGGTATTCATTGCCATGTCTTCTTTTGACGAAGTACAAGTTAGTTCATTACAAATTTATATGCACAAACTTAGATGGTGAATATTATCCCATCTTTAAGAACTATATCTAAAGTTTGGTTAAAACTTTATTTTCTTTTATTATCTAGAACATTATGACTCTAGTATTCCTCATTTATTTTGATGAAATCCATGTTATACATTATAAATATATATTCCGTTTTTATGAATTTTATCTAATTTTTTTTCTTTTATTGAAAGTTTGAAATAATTCACTTATTAGTTAACCTTTTCTTTAATATATTTTAGGTTGAATATAATTTATCTCTCATGCACAAGGTATGCTTTTTGTACTAAAACTGCATCTTTCTTTGAGATGCGTGAAATTGAAAGTTAGTAAATTTAGTAATTAAACTTAAAATATGAAGTTAACTTAATTAATATATCTACATAATTAATTATTTAACAAAACTGTTTTTAGTTAGATATATAAAAATTATTGTATCATATAATTGGAATTTAAATAATTTATATGCTATTGTAATTTATATAATTTCATCACAATTTATCTAGATTACTAAAATAATTTATATATATAATTGTTTATCTATCTCAGGATTAAGATTAGAATTTATACCTGCATTGCCAATTGGTAATCCTTCATTCAGAGGAATTTGGTAACAAGTTGCAGTGCCCATAATTTGATTGAACTTTCTTGGAGCTTTTCCTAGATACAATCCAAAGATGGCAAGGTAATAAAAGTTGTTTTTAATTATAAAAATAAAATTAATATATAAACACTTTAGTACACAAATTGACTTGTCACATTTTGCAGGACTATCCAGATGTTTTTGGTAATTGGTTTTATGACCGATGTACAACTGATATAATTGATATCTCCATGAAAGCAAAAAATTGCACGAACATTGAAATCTATATAATGTGAGTGTAAAAGCTAGTAAAATATTTTACACTCACATTATGAAACAATATTTTACTAGCCTTTTACACTCAGATTATATAGATTTCAATGTCGGTGCAATGTTTTACTTTCATGGAGATATCAATCATATGAGTTGCATATCGGTCATAAAACTAATTATCAAAAATATCTGAATAGTCTTGCAAAATGTGATCATTCAATTTGTGTGCTAAAAGGTTTATATATTAATTTTATTTTTGTAATTAACAACAACTTATATTACCATGCCATATTTGGACTGTGTCTTGGAACAACTCCAAGAATGTTCAATCAAATTATGGGCAATGCAACTTGTTACCCAAGTTCCTCTGAATGAAGGATTAGCAATTGTAGATGCATGTAGAAACTCTAATCTTAATCCTAAGATAGATAAACAATTATATATAAAAATTAGTTTAGTAATCAAGATAAATTGTGATGAAATTATATAAATTACAAATGCCTATAGATTATTTAAATTTAAAGTATATGATACAAAAAAATTTATTTGACTAAAAAAAGTTTTGTTAAATAATTAATTATGAAGATATATTAATTAAGCTAATGTTTCATATTTTAAGTTAATTACTAAATACACTAACCTTCAATTTCACTCATCTCGACCAAGGTGCAGTTCTGAAATAGAAGGCATACCTTGTGTATGAAAGACAAATTATATTCAACGTACAATAGATTTTAAAATGTTAACTAATAAGTGAATTATTTCAACTTTCTAATAAAAGAAAAAAAAAATTAAATCATGTTCATAAAGACGGAATATATATAATGTATAACATAAATTTCATCAAAATAAGAGATGAGAAAGAATACCAGAGTCATAACGTTCTAGACAAAAACATAAAATAAAAATTTTAACAAAACTTTAGATAAAGTTCTTAAAGACGAGATGATACTCATTGTCTATGTTTGTATGCATATATATATATATTTGTAATGAAATAATTTAGATTTCTTCAAAAGAAGAGATGACAATGAATATTGGAGTCTTAACGTGTGACAAAACATATTGAGAAAAGAAGAACTATAAATTAAATAAGTCACAATTAATATTGGTGTACATAAACACATCTAAACGTACAAGGTATATGTATATATGTAAATGTTATTACAAGACTTTGTTTGATTAATTTCTCATGCAAGATGAAGGCAACATTTGACTTAATCCCTATAACAATATTGAATATTCAAGTTCAACAATATTTTAGCCTCTAGAGATGAAACTATTTAATGTATACAAATTTGCTATATTACATGTAATGTTATCAATCCTTTAAAGGCACTATCAAACTTCTTCTCCTCCATCAAATATTTCTTATGAAAGGATTATAAAATTTTAAGTTGTAAGCACTATTTAAAGATACACTATATATTCAATAAATTTAAATATCATGTACTCGTGCAAAAAATATGAAGAATCAAAAAAAATGTAACTTTTACGTCAAATGGCAAAAGTGATCAAAACTGATCACAATACAAAATTGCAGCTATGCCACAACAGAACTTTCAAAAAGAATGGCTATAACAATGATAAGTCCGAATTCAACAATGACAGTGTTGTGGATAATTTAATAAATAACAAAATTTAGTTATGAATGCATCATTGATTATTTAATTTGCAATTTAAATAGAAAAATATACATAAATACATTCATGAAAAAAAAATTGTATTAGAGTATGTGAACATACATTTTTGGCATTTTTCATCCCTTCTTTAAGAAAATCTTTCATTATTACAGTAAAGATCATTCCTTCTCTATAGGTTAAATAGATTAGTAGCCTCAAAGAGTTTTGAAAATTAAAACAGGGAGGAACATTAACATGTATTATAAAAAAAAAATTGAAAAATCTATCTCGAATTAGCTAAACCAATGCTATATATATAGAATATAATAAAAACTAGTTATTTGTTTTTTGTTAAATCTCTGTACTTGTTAATTAACATGGCAATTGATAATATATAATAAATTTTAAATATTAAATTTAAAAAACTTACAAGATCAACTGTGTCAACATCCCCAATGAAGGAAGACCCATCACAATAATTAATATAAACTCAATTCCAATTATAGAAGTCTATAATGTAAATTTTAAAAACAAATCACAAGTTAATTAAGAATGCAAATGAGAGCAATAATGAAGACTAGAGAAATATCAAACACAAATCAATCAATTAATTGGTAGGAAAGTAAGTTTATTGATACCAAGATTAGATTAGGAGTTTTTCCTCAAAATATTTCCAAGCTGACAACTCATATTTTAAAAAAATTTTAAAACCATAGTCCCCTGTAAAACGCATTTTGCATTTTTAGACCGTTTTATACCACCCGTCACCCTTAGAATATTGTTAAAATGTTGTAAATTATCAATATTGCATAAACATAAAAACTAATTACACAATTCACATTATAAACTAAGAACATTCTTTCTATCTTTTGAATAAATCATATATAATCAAAGTTGAACCACTAATTACATACCCGCGGATAAATCACCCAATTATTTGACTACCTGGCAAACTAGGGCACAGCACCCAATTATTTGAGTACCTGGCAAACTAGGGCACAGCCTCGCGAGACAAGGGAATTGAAGGATAAGTTGGCAAGGATGTATGAGGTTAAAGATTCCAACTCCATTTTTGTGTTCAAATTCAGGACTCACTTTGGTGGTGGCAAATCAACTGGGTTTGGTTTGATCTATGATTCAGTTGAGAATGCAAAGAAATTCGAGCCCAAGTACAGGCTGATCAGGAATGGATTGGATACCAAATCTAGAAAACAGATGAAGGAGAGAAAGAACAGGGCCAAGAAAATACGCGGTGTAAAGAAGACAAGGGAGGGAAGAAGAAGTGATTTCCATCACTCTTGTCATGTTGTTTTCTTTATTATTTTTTTTTTTTCCAGAACCTGAGTTAAGTGATTTGCTCTTTTAGTGTTTCTCCCAAGTAATTTAAATGCATTATATTAAATGACCCTTTATTCTTGTTTCATCAGACTATATAACTAGCAGATTTGTTTTTAAAAAAAATAAAAAAAAATCACCCAATTATTTACCCCTGCCCTTTTCCTTTGTCGTGATAGTAAGAAAGAGGTCTTCCATCCACACAAAATATATTTTAAATGTAAAGTTCAACAAATCAATTATTTTGAAATTATGGAAATTAATAAAAGAAAAATATGGAAATGATATTTAGGCTACAATAATAAAATTACCCGATCCTTTGTCATTTCCAATGTGTGTGATCCAAACATTTGTTGTAAGACCATCGTCCAGGCTGAAGTGTTTGTTAAGATCAGAGGTAGGTGAGCACATATAACCAGCAAGCTAAGCCAAACTTTTTGTTTCTTCCATTATATTCTACAAATGAAATCAATGAGCTAGTCAACATATATAACAATAATCTTTCTAAACTAAAAATATATCGGATATCACACTGTCTAAAAATGTCTACAGACTATTACATTTCAACCAAATTTACAGGGTATACACTCTAAAAATGACAGTGGTTTCCTCTATCTCACAAAAAAAAAAAAAAAAAAAAAAAAGTTCAAATCTTATAATGTTACGCCATTAATGAAAGAATTGAAGAGGTGAATACCATAACTATTTGAGTTTGAAATGAAAGAAAGAAATAAATGAAAGAGACATGGATGGTAGCTGAAGTGTCTACCTACCAATATAAATGCGGCGATGACTTACGCTCCCAAGAATATGAAGTTCGAACAGCCCGCCGGAAGTTCTCCACTGCCGCCGCTATCCTCGGCGGTTATGGACGACGGCACCGCCACGGTGGCGGCAGTTGAGTACAGGAATACGTTCACCCCAGACGGCGGAGTAGTACAGTGAGCGTACCGCACAATCTCTTCTTCTGTGTTTCATGTGGATCTGCGGAACAGACTGTACTGTATATATATAGTGGTTCGGGAGAGATAAACTTGCTTAATCATATTGGGAGTAAGAAGAAGAAGCAGGGATGAAGGATGAAGGATGAAGGATGAAGGATGAAGGATGAACTGTACTGTATATATAGCAATACATATATTTAATGATTTCCCCTCTTGGAAGTCTCAAAAGCTGAGGGTGTATTTAATTGCTTGGCCATTTACTCAGATTTCAAATTATTTATGCATGAGATATTTAGATTTGTGATATATGTACCCCATACCCCTGGTGACACATGTATTTAGATTTTTTATTTTTATTTACACTTTTTGATTTAAGCAATACATATATCGAATTGTATACCATTACAGCAATGATATAATAATGGATTAAAAAAAAAAAAAGATACAAGTTAGGAATATAAGTTAGTGAAAAAATGTTTATATCAAATTTAAACTAATTTAACATTTGATTTATTTTTTTTTTTCATATTTTACTCTAAATTTAAGAATTACAATAAACATTAAAAACATATGAAATTCTTTACTGCATATATTTAAAATAACATATTTTATCTTTACAAAGTTGCATTTACCAAACATCACAATCTTTCATTTATTACACTTTATGAGTGTAACTTACGAAGATATGAGAGGTTTTTTTTTTTTTTTTGGTCTAGTAATTAAGTTACATATCATTGTCTTTTCATGTTGATCTTTAACAAATGGAGTATACAACTATATATTTAGTTGTGTTTAATATAGATGAATTTGAATATTATTCTTAATTCATTCCAAAGAATGTTTTAATTCCAAATTTCACATAAGAGGAAGAGGAAAATTCATAATTATACCTAAAATCTTAAACTCTCAAGAATAATATTGTTTTAAAGTTTTTTTGTTTTTTTGTTTTTTTTTTTTTTTGTTTTTTACCCCTCATGTGACATGTAAAAACGAATTTATTCTACATACGTAGTGTTGGGCATTGACTAATTAGATTGTCTACTTCAACATCTTAATATCGAAATATGACTTTAACTACTACGGAAGTGTATATATATATAAATAAAATTGTACATTTACTATACTTAAAATTTTTACAAGGCATTTGGTTGGAAGGAGTGAATTGGGGGGGAGGGGGGTGGAAGAATTATATTGTAATTTCGTGGGAAAAGAATAAAGTAGGAATTTAAACTACATTGTTTGGTATGAATGAATAGAATGATTGGAAAATGATAAGATGATAATTTATCATGAAATTACAATTCCACAAAATGTGAAATTGCAATTCCTAGGGGGACCTTAGGAATTGCAAATCCATGGTTGGAAGGATTTGTAATTCTGTGGAATTGCAATTCCCTCCAACCAAACCATGGAATTATAATTCCATGAAATTTGGTAGGAACGGAATTGTAATTTCATCCTACCAAACACCCCATATATAAATGTAGTTGTAAGCGCTAGCTTGATCTTGACAATCCATTGAAAGCATACTATGCAGTTGAAGTTACTAGGTGGTATGATGTGATTATTGAGTGTCGGTTTGAAAAGTTAAGTCTAATTTCTACTATCGAAATGTGATGTTAATTAATTGCTACGCAAGTATAAGAAAATTAAGATCCATCTTTATTACTAGATATAAATTTTGAGGGAGTGATAAGTGTAATACATACAATATTAATTGTTATCCTTTAAATATAAAATAAAAATTATTACGACGACTTCAAAATTGATTAAGTTTGATACGTAATCACTTGAGCATGGTGTTAATTTTAATCCTCCAATGTTTGCAAGGGTGGAGGAGGTGCTTTTCATTAAGTTTTAAGGCAAATTTTTGGAGGTGCACTTTTTGGCCCATACTCTAATTAATATGAAAGGTTTCACCTTTTTGAAAAGTTGAAAACTACTCCATAAATGCAATAGTTTCTTTCCAAATATATATATATATATATATATATATATATATATATATATATTATATGTATACTTTCATTTTCTATTCCCAATTTTTATTTTCACACTTAAAATTTTGATGTAGACACATTATAAGGGCCTACATAAAGAAAATGACATATCAATGACTGTCACATCTTAGAGTAAATTTAAAAAATAAGATTTTAAAATACATGTAGTAAAACTCTAGTTATAATCTCTAAACTCATATGAAACTTTGCATAACACGTACGCCATACCTCCTATAGTCCTATGCCTTTTTATCCCACTCCATTCTCCATCATTTAATTCTCATCCCTTTTTTTTCTTTTTTCTTTTTTACATCTCTCTACTTGCCCATATTATATTCTTGAAAATTTAAAAAGATCTTTTAACCAAAAAAACCACACAAATACTAATAAAAAATATCGAATCAAATTTACCTCACATAATAAAAAATTCTTATTCTTTTAATTTTGGTAATCGAAAGAAAAAAAGTATGTGCTATGTATATATTTATTTCAATTCACATGAACAAGAGGTATGTATGTATTAAATATGAATAAGAGAACAATGATAGGAAGAGAAAGTGTGTGCTATGTTTCAAAATTATTCATGGTCTACTAGTTGTCAACAACTATTTCTTTTTAATTTAACATAAACTTTTTCCAACATGTTGTCATATGTTGCCGGGGCATATATTACAATATATAGGGCTAATATATTACCACATTTTGATAATTCAATATTAGCATTTATACTATTTAGAATTAGAATTGAGGGGTTTCTTTAAAAAAAAAATGACTAATTCCAATGTCTTAGGCTAGATAATTATACTCCGTGTGTTTTTTCTTCCATATGATATGGTGAAAAAAGATTGCATCTCTAATACAATATAATAATGCACATGTTTAGATTTTAAATAGTAATAATATAATCCACTGCATTCACCTTTTGTATATACCACTATACACGACCAAATAGCATATTAAAATCACTAAATTGCATATATTACTCATTAATGTATGAATTCAATGAGATATTAAAAAGAGTAATTTACAAGAAAAAAAAAAAAGTGTCATAAACTAACATATTAAATTTACAATTTGGTGTATATTCAATCCTAAGTATTCTCCTACTTGTCATTTTTTATTCTCATATTCCTCCTCAATCAAGACAATATTTAACGAGGGTTTTGCATATATAAGAGTAGCATATATATGAAGGGGAAGGGAGAGAGTTTGAGAAAATTTGACAAAATGACTAATTTATCCTTAAATAATTTGATAATTCAAAATAAAGTGTTAATGTTAACAAAATCTATAAGTAATGGATTCAAATTGTAACTTTCAACATAATTAAAAGCAAAAATTTGTATAAAATAATAATTCATGGACTGAGGGTATACAATTTAGATATAATTAATGAACTAAAAATCTAAAATCATCATTTTCCCTAAAGAAAAATATGATAAGATAAAATTAATGGAATAGAAAAAATCTAGAAATCAAATTCAACCCGAATAAATGAATTGAAGAGAAACCCACAATGATAAGAATTAATCCACTCACATAATTGTATTATTAAGAATATATGTATTTGAGCCCTTAGGACTAAGCGTAGTGGTTTGTCGCTTGACTTGATATCACAACTGAAAATAGCAATGTGGAGGTTAAAATCCCACTGAAAATATGAATGTGAAAAAGGCTGTAGGCGACAGTGGGGTGGTAGGGGTTCCGAATCCCACTAGAAACATGAATGAGAAAAGGTCCAAAAAGATGATAGAAGGTGTGAATTGGATCTCTTGTACATGTATCTCTAGAAACAAAATTACGTATTAAATGACCAAAAAAAGTTACCAAATATATTAGAAGCATTTTGTAATTTTTTTTTCAATAAAATAAAATTAATTTTCCAATATGATTACGTGCAAGAAGAAAGTAAAAATAAAGCATTTGCATGTGAATATATTTAGTACGTGCATTGTTATTATATTCAAAAAAAATTACATAGTAAAGAAATCAAATTTAAATCTTAAAATGGGAAAAAAAAAAAAAAAAAAAAAAACATAACATAACATGTGACTTACTTAATTTCTTCTTCTAATTTTATATGGTTTTTTAAATTTTTTCTATTAATGTCTTCCCATCACCTATCAGCATAGAGTGTTGTGTAGCATAGATTGAGAAAGATTGAGAGATATGACATGCGCTATGTTTTAAAATCATTTAGGATGTATTTGGTTCATGAGTTTAGCTATTAGGAATGGGAATCAAAGTTATTGTTATTATTTGGTTGACAACTTTCTATCTGTTATAGGATATGATTATCCCCTTAATTAAAAAAATTAATTCCCTAATAAAATAAGAGTTTCATTCCATAAAATAAGGGTTTCATTCCAAACTTGGTTTTTAAGTTTGGATTAGTGCTTTTAGATTTATGTTTTTATTTTTTAGTTCATATTGGTGTTTTCGATGTCTTTATATTATAATCAATTGTCTTCATTTTTTTTTTTTTTTGAAGTTAATTGTCTTGATTTTTTGTTCTTGTATTTTTAAAATTTTTATTTGCATTATAGGATCATACATAACCAAACAATAATATTAGTAATCATTCCAATTCTATCATACTACAAAACATGTTGATAGTACTAATTCACCCGGATGGTAGTTGTACGTACTAAAAGATGTATATATGTATATGAATGTATAAACACGAAAGAAGAACACCAGAAAATAGCTCCAAAATTCCCATTTCATTAATGTTGTGCTTGCATGTAAATGTAGAGAGAAGGATGAGGATAATGGCTATAGAGAGAGAGGGCCGAGAGATGGCCAAAATGGCCCCCTCCTGCCACAAAGGCAATAGTTATGTTGTGCAACCGAATGCACCATGCGCATGGTGCATACGATGCAAAACGATGTCGTTTTGACAAAAAAACGCGCGTCCCACTTAAAAAAAAAATTCAGGTTCGATTCTCGGCAATAACATTATTGTGGATATATAGTTATGAATTTCTGGATATATAGGTATGAATTTATGGATATATAGTTATGAATTTATGGATATTTAGTTCATTCATTCTAGATATTTACTTCATTCATTCACTATGGATATATAGTTATGAATTTATGGATATATAGTTATGAATTTTTGGATATATAGTT